ATTTATCACAAGTATAACAGAATATGTTTGGGTCATTTAAACAACCTCTTGTTGCCATAGCGACAAATAATTAATATTGAAAAGAAAAATAATATCAAAGTGCACGCACAAACAAATACTATCCAGAAATGACACGTCATGCGGCCTGTTAACCATTTATATACTAGCGATGTGTTTCTCGTGGGTTCTAGAACGATCGATAAGACTCTCACGTCGCGATTGGTCTAGAGAAATCTATAGCCAGCGGTTGTCAATATTTTACGCATAACAAAAATGTACGTGATGGAGAAAAATGGATAACAAAGCTCCGAAATAAGGCCTGAAACCAGTCTGGAACACTTCCTTCATCCCAAACATTGTTATGAAACTGGGCACATCTCCTGATACAACTTTTCGAGCATACTTTTGAATTCACAAATGATATTTTAGATAGATAATGACCACATCATTGTCGACATTTCATTGATTTATTCTCAAGCTGAAAAACTAGATCAAAGCGGTATCTTTATGCACAGTATTTAGATCTGGACATTAATAATAAAATGATCATTACACTTCTTATATTCTTTTTTTTTTCGTAAGGACAAACTTGATTTTCTGTGTTTGGCATTGTCAACCTGAATAGCCTCTTATGAGAAATATGGTTAACATAATACAAAGATTCAAGCATAGTTATTTCTAGCTCAGAACTGCTAACCAGAAGGAGGACGTCATCCGCCACATACATGGCCGCTCTTCACTGCCATAGGTATCAAACCCACATAGCTGAAAGTTCGTAACGCATTCAGCGGTATATAGCTGCTAGACACCAAGGCTCTGATTCTTGTAGCACTTGCGAAGCAATTAGGATTGTCTACAACATTCTAATATTTCAAAATCAGTTAGCTATTTTGATGTTTTTTTTAGAATTTGTTATTCTCCTATCAAAGGTAGTTTTTAATATAATCGCAAACAGGAGTCATATTCCACTGCGCTTTCCATTTTGTCAGTGCTAAGTTTCCTGACTTACAAATCTAAAATCCGGGATTCTATTCCCCGCAGTGGACAGAGCGCAAATAGCTCATTGTGTAGCTTTGTGCTAAAAAAACCAACAACAACCAACCTTACCTTGTACGGTTATTGGGCAGGAAAAAGTATATTTCTTACTGCTTTTATCTTGTTTGTGAATTATTGTTCTCATAAGTTTATATATTTATATAGTT